ATCGGCCGAAGCCGAGAGCTGCCGGGGGGGGCTTCCCGCGCCCCCCACCCCGGAGCCGCCCCCCACCGCCACCCCCTCGCCGGGACCCCCGCCCCCGTCCAGGCCGGCCCGGCAGGACCCCCCGTAACGGGGCGCGCGCCGCGGCCCCCCCAGGACGCCCTCGTCCAGCGAGGCCGGTTTGCCCTGGAAGTAGGGCGGGGGCGGCGGGGGCGGCCCCGGGGCGGGGGCCGGGGGGCCGCGGTCGTACTCCTCGAAGGAGAACTGCAGGCGCAGCCCCGGCAGCGCCAGGCGCCGCGCCCGGCCGCCCTCGCTGCGCAGCCGCTCGAACTTCTGCGCCATGCGGTAGCGCCGGAACGCGGCCTGGATGGTCCGCGCCGCGCGCCGCGAGCGGAAGTAGCCGCCGTACTTGCGCTCCAGCATCTCCACCTGTGCGGGGACACGTGTGGGGACATGGGTGAGGATGGGGACACGGGGACACGCGTCAGGATGTGGGGACACGGTGAGGGACATGGGGACGTGGCGAGGGACGTGGGGACACAGTGAGGGATGTGGGGATGTGGCGAGGGATGTGGGGACATGGGGACATGGATGAAGATGGGGACACAGGGACATACGTGGGGACACGGTGAGGGATGTGGGGATGTGGCGAGGGACGTGGGGACACAGTGAGGGATGTGGGGATGTGGGGACGTGGATGAGGATGGGGACGCGGGGACACGCGTCAGGATGTGGGGACACGGTGAGGGACGTGGGGACGTGGCGAGGGACGTGGGGACACGGTGAGGGACGTGGGGATGTGGGGACGTGGATGAGGATGGGGACGCGGGGACACATGTGGGGACGTGGGGACGTGGGTGAGGATGGGGACACGGGGACACACGTGGGCATGTGGGGACATGGTGAGGGACGTGGGGATGTGGCGAGGGACGTGGGGACATGGTGAGGGACGTGTGGACATGGGGACGTGGATGAGGATGGGGACGCGGGGACATGCATGGGGACGTGGGGACACGGTGAGGGACGTGGGGACGTGGCGAGGGATGTGGGGACATGGTGAGGGACGTGGGGATGTGGGGACGTGGATGAGGATGGGGCACAGGGACATGCGTGGGAATGTGGGGACACGGTGAGGGACGTGGGAATGTGGGGACACGGTGAGGGACGTGGGGACATGGGGACATGGATGAGGATGGGGACATGGGGACACATGTGGGGATGTGGGGACGTGGATGAGGATGGGGACGCGGGGACACGCATGGGGATGTGAGGACATGGTGAGGGACGTGAGGACGTGGGGACATGGCGAGGGATGTGGGGACATGGCAAGGGACGTGGGGACATGGCGAGGGACGTGGGGACAGGGGACATGCGTGGGGACAGGGGACAGGGATGGGCACATGGGGACATGGGTGATGATGAGGACATGGGTGAGGACATGGGGAGAGGGATGATGATGGGGACATGTGGACATGGGTGGAGACATGGATGAGGGTGGGGACATGGGGACACGCACAGGGACATGGAGACGAACGAGGATGAGGATGGGGACATGGGTGGGGACATGGGAGACGTGGATTGGGATGGGGACATGGGGATGGGGACATGGGGACATGGGGATGGGGACACGGATGGGGACGTGGGGACATGAGGACATGAGGATGTGGGGATGGGGATGTGGATGTGTGGATGGGGTTGGGGGGTTGGGGTGGGGGGATGGGGACATGGGGACATGGACAAGGACATGGAGGTGTGGGGATGGGGACATCAAAACATGGACGGGGACATGTGGCCATGGGGTCCGGGAGGGGACAAGGAGGGGACAGGGACCATTGTATGGGGACAGGGACGGTGACATGGACCTGGGGACCACCACACGTGGATCTGTGACCACCACACAACCAGGGCCCATCCCAGGGGTGTCCCCAGCTGTCCCCAGGTGTGTCCCGGGTGTGTTCCAGGTGTCCCCAGGTGTCCCCAGGTGTCCCCAGGTGTGTCCCAGGTGTGTCCCCAGGTTTCCCAGGTGTCCCCAGGTGTGTCCCGGGTGTGTCCCAGGTGTCCCCAGGTGTGTCCCGGGTGTGTCCCGGGTGTCCCCAGGTGTCCCCAGGTGTGTCCCGGGTGTGTCCCAAGTGTCCCCAGGTGTTCCCAGGTGTCCCCGGGTACCTTCTTGTCCTGCAGGTCGGTGGAGAGCTCGTAGCTGTCGCTCAGAGCCTTCGGCCTCTTGCTCTCCTCCTCCTCCTCCTGCTTGCGCAGGGCCACGCTGGCGGGCTGGGGGGGCAGCCGGGGCCAGGCCCCCCCCGGGGAGACCCCCCCGGGGCCGCCCCCCGGGCCTGGGGGCGCCGCCGGGGCCAGGCCCCGGTACGGGGGGGGTCTCCCGGGGCTGTCGGGCACCGGGACCCCCCCCTCGCTGCCCGGGGCTTCGCCGTCCACGCTGCGGGGACACCGCGTCACCCCCACGTCGGGACCCCCAAAAAAGCCCCAAAGCACCCTCAGGACCCCCAGAAAAGCCCAAAGCACCCTCAGGACCCCCAAAAAAGCCCAAAGCACCCTCAGGACCCCCAAAAAAGCCCAAAGCACCCTCAGGAATGACCCCCCCCAGACCTCCCCAGGACCCCCCAAAAGCTCCCAGAGACCTTCAAAGGTGCCACTGAGACCCCTCAAAGAGTCTGGAGGAACCGGTGGGGACACGGGGACAGACAGAGGGACAAGGGACAGACAGACACAGGGACAAGGGACACAGGGACAGGGGACAGAGGGACAAGGGACAGACAGACACAGGGACAAGGGACAGACAGACACAGGGACAAGGGACACAGGGACAGGGGATAGAGGGACAAGGGACAGACAGACACAGGGACAGGGGACAGACGGACACAGGGACAGGGGACAGACGGACACATGAGACACATGGACAGGGGGACACAGGGACAAGGGACAGACAGACACAGGGACAGAGGGATAAGGGACAGACGGACACAGGGACAGACAGACACAGGGACACAGGACACAAGGACAAGGGACAGACAGACACAGGGACACGGGGACAGACACAGGGACAGGGGACACAGGGACAGACACAGGGACAGGGGACACAGGGACAAGGGACAGACAGACACAGGGACACAAGACACAAGGGGACAGACAGACACATGGACAGGGGACACAAAGGACAAGGGGATGGATGGACACAGGGACAGGGGACAGAGGGACAGGGGACAGACAGACACAGGGACAGGGGACAGACGGACACATGAGACACATGGACATGGGACACAGGGACAAGGGGACAGACAGACACATGGACAGAGGACAGAGGGATAAGGGACAGACGGACACAGGGACAAGGGACAGATGGACACATGAGACACATGGACAGGGGACACAGGGACAAGGGACAGACAGACACAGGGACAGAGGACAGAGGGATAAGGGACAGACGGACACAGGGACAGACAGACACAGGGACATGGGGACAGACACAGGGACAGGGGACACAGGGACAAGGGACAGACAGACACAGGGACAGGGGACAGAGGGACACAGGGACAGACAGACACAGGAACACAAGACACAAGGGGACGGACATGGACAGGGGACACAAAGGACAAGGGGACGGATGGACACAGGGACAGAGGACACAGGGACAGGGGACAGACGGACACATGAGACACATGGACAGGGGACACAGGGACAAGGGGACAGACAGACACATGGACAGAGGGACACAGGGACAAGGGACATACAGACACAGGGACAGGGGACAGAGGGACACATGAGACACATGGACATGGGACACAGGGACAAGGGGACAGACAGACACATGGACAGGGGGACACACGGACATGGGGACATGGGGACATTTGCCATATGGACACACGGACACACGGACATGGGGACACATGGACATGGGGACACACGGACACACGGACATCAGCCCTATGGACATGAGGACATTGGGACAGACAGACACATGGACATGGCGACATTTGCCATATGGACATGGGGACACACGGACACACGGACATGGGGACATCAGCCCTATGGACATGGGGACATTGGCCATACGGACACGGGGACACACAGACATGGGGACACACAGACATTGGCCCTATGGACATTGCAACACAGGGACACATGGACATGGGGACACATGGACACACGGACATTGGCCATATGGACACGGGGACATTGGGACAGACAGACACACGGACGTGGGGACACAGGGACACACAGACATGGGGACACACAGACATGGGGACACACGGACATGGGGACATCGGCCCTATGGACACACGGACACATGGACATGGGGACACACAGACATGGGGACACACAGACATGGGGACACACGGACATGGGGACACACGGACACGGGGACACACGGACACGGGGACATTGGGACAGACAGACACACGGACATGGGGACACAGGGACACAAACATGGGGACACATGGACATGGGGACACATGGACACAGGGACATCGGCCCTATGGACATGGGGACATTGGGACAGACAGACACACGGACATGGGGACACACGGACATAGGGACATCGGCCCTGTGGACATGGGGACACACGGACACATGGACATGGGGACATTGGGACAGACAGACACACGGACATGGGGACATCAGCCATATGCACACATGGACACAGGGACATGGGGACACACGGACGTGTGGACACATGGACACATGGACATGGGGACACACGGACATGGGGACATTGGCCATATGGACATGGGGACATTGGGACAGACAGACACACGGACATGGGGACATCGGCCATACGGACACGGGGACACACGGACACAGGACACACGGACATGGGGACACTGGAACAGGAGGACATGGGACACTCGGACACACAGACATGGGGACATCGGCCATATGCACACATGGACACAGGGACATGGGGACACACGGACATCGGCCCTATGGACATGGGGACATTGGGACAGACAGACACACGGACATGGGGACACAGGGACACACAGACATGTGGACACACAGACACATGGACATCGGCCCTATGAACACACGGACACACGGACACGGGGACACACGGACACGGGGACACACGACAGGCCTGTACGTGCACACGCGGCCCCGGGGGACACACGGACACGGGGACACACGGACACACGACAGGCCCGTACGTGCACACGCGGCCCCGGGGGACACACGGACACACGGACAGACG